GAAAGAAGACTTCAAGGAGTTGATTGGTTTTGTATCTATTTCTGCATTGGATAATATTATGGTTGAGCTAAAGCGGTTAGATTATATTGGGGTTGATCTTATATCATGTGGTTGCATAATAAAACACACACATGGATTACCATGTGCACATGAGATGCAAGAGTTCAAACGGACTCATAGACCCATTCCACTTGATTGTATTCATCCTCGTTGGAGGAAGTTAGATTTTTTGGAGCCCCGACCTATTGCTACACCGAACAATCCTCCAGAAAATGCACAGTTAGAATTATTTGTGAAGTGGTGTCAAAGTTGTAGTTCTGAGAGAAAGAGACATGTTAGTATGAAGTTACAAGAGATTATGAATCCTGCATCTACCACACTTACACAACCCCAATTGAAGATTAAAACAAAAGGTCGTCCAAAAGTTGACACATCTACTCGACGTTTGCCTTCTGCTTTTGAGGTTGTTACAACACCGCCATGTAAGAAGCCAAAGACCATACCCCAAAAGCGATCAGTTTTGAATAGTCAAACACAACCATTGCCATATGTGTATCTAAAGAAGCCGCCTTCGAAGTTACCTGTAAGTAATTACAATATTAAATTTGTATATTGTCGTTTATATTGTAATTTGGGTGTAATTGTAATATGCAGATCTATAGGCCTAAACCCATTGTAGATGACTCTTGCTTAACACCAGAGTTTAACAAGTGGTTTCCTAAACATATGTTGATACATATTAGAAGGGCACAAGATGTTCAGAGTGATGGTAATTGTGGTTTTAGAGCCATTGGATCATTGATGGGATTTGGTGACAATGCTTGGCGCAAAGTACGCAAAGACTTGTTGAAGGAGTTGAGGAAAGAATCTGTCATATACGAGTTAATATTAAATGGTAAGGAGCGGGTACAACATATTGAGGATATGTTGGACTATTTTGAGGACTTCCCACTTCAAGATAGGTGGATGACTATACCAGATATGGGACACCTCATTGCATCTTGTTATAATGTAATCCTCATGACTTGGTCAGTGCATCAGTCACTTACATTTTTTCCATATGAGACTGCTCCATTGGATTCTATCTATCGCCGTGAGATTTCGATTGGATTTGTTAACCATAACCACTGGATTAAGGTAAAACAATTAAGCTGTTTATGCATATATATATATATATATATGTTTGTTTACTATTTTTTTTCACATAACTTGATTTATTTTTTTATTTTTTATTTTACAGGTTTATTTGGAAGGTCAACACCCTATGCCACCAGTTGATGAGCGTTGGTTGAGATGTGCAACCATAACTGCATCAGATTGGCTTACGCCATATCAGGATCGTATACGTCAATTTAGATATGAAGCTGGTGTAGCAGACTCTTATGATAATGACCCTATATTTATTGAGTAGTTTTGTGAAGCATCATATTGGTGACATTATTGGTGACCCTATATTTATTGAGTAGTTTTCAGTGTCTCTGTGTGCATAAATGAGAGATATTGATGAGCACAGAGACTGGTTCTTTATCGAAGGGAGGAGATTCTAGCTTCCCCATGACAGTAGATTCCAGTTGTATCAATTTTCACTTGTTCTTATTCACTTTACACCAATACATTCACGTACAACATACAAGTTATTGGTTTCCAACTATGAATAGTCCATCTAGAGAGGTTGGGAAAGTTGAGAACAAATAAATTTCACAGTAGCATAGTAGTATATAACTGAAACATGCATAAAAAATCACTATTAACGAAAGAGGTGGTGATTGCAAGAACTTGGAATTGCAAAAAAAGTGTCAACAATTTTAGTAGAAGCATAAATCCATATGAAAAGTCAAAGATTTATAAACACTATTAAAAAAATCAAGCTGAAAATCAACTATTAAATAATGCTACAAGTATTATGGTGTACCATGGGTATTTTTGGTAGTTCTATAGGGTGTACTTAGTTAATTTTACATTTTAATTAAAATATTAGGGTGTACTTAGATCATAGGGTGTACTCAGTTAATTTTAGGGTTCGTTTAGCAGCACTCTTGTTTAATCCCCTAATTGAAAAGTAGGTGGGTTAATCTACTTAAAAATATATATAAATAAAAACAGAATTACAAATCTCAATGAAAGAATAATACAATTTGGAAAACTTAAAAAGAAGACTGGCATTAGATCTAAAAGCTGACAAGAAAATTTTGAAATGTGGAAAAGAAGCAAAAGATTAAACAACTTATCACCCAAAAAAAATTAATTAATTAAAAGAAATTAATGAAGAGTCGTAGACGAAGTCACAATTTCACAAAGGGTTGAATGTATTGATCTTTGACTTTACAACTGCAACGCCGGTCAAGGCGCGATTCCATAAGCTTCGAATGTGCATTATATATAAACTAATTAATAATTAATTTTTATTTATTTATTTATACATATATTAACAGAAAGGTTTGTGTATGAAACAAGAAAATGGAGGTCAAGGCCTCCACACAAATGGTGAAGAATTATAAATAAATAATAAAAAAGTAATAATTAATAAATTCATGCAAATTAAGTATATTATATTTTTAAATTGCGAAATGGCCCGACTGTTCCAAGTTGTAATGCACCAAGACACCCAATCTCTTTTGAAAAGCTATCTATGATTAGCTACTTTAAACACTAAACCCTCCAAAATTAAAAAAATTAAAAAATTAAAAAATTAAAAGAATATTTTTTCAAGGGTTACAAAAATATTTATTCCTCTATTGGGCAATAAGAATGCTTGGTATAACTCAGTGGTGTAATGTTAGTAGTGGAGACGGCAGTTAAGGCTTTGTTGGATAAAATAGAATATGTAATTTTTAAGTTTCATGGTCTAAAGAGCGTGGGTTTCACACACACACACTATCAAGATATTATGAGAGTTCTAACTTGAGACTACTGGTATGCAAGTTAAGATCTTTTTCCATTAGGCTAGACCCCGTTGGCCACATTGGGTCGTTCTTGGGAATTCAGGGTTACAAAAATATTTATTCCTCTATTGGGCAATAAGAATGCTTGGTATAACTCAGTGGTGTAATGTTAGTAGTGGAGACGGCAGTTAAGGCTTTGTTGGATAAAATAGAATCTGTAATTTTTAAGTTTCATGGTCTAAAGAGCGTGGGTTTCACACACACACACTATCAAGATGTTATGAGAGTTCTAACTTGAGACTACTGGTATGCAAGTTAAGGTCTTTTTCCATTAGGCTAGACCCCGTTGGCCACATTCGGTCGTTCTTGGGAATTCACTCTTAAATGAAAAGGTAAGAAGGGTGAGAGTCAAATTTTTATCATGGATGTGTGAAGCAAGTAGTTTGACATTTTGAAGTATGAGAGACAAATAGGGTGAGAATCAAACTCTTATCATGAATGCAAAGTACGCATTTTGTCACTGAAACTATAATGATATATAAAAGAAGAGTTAAATAGACGCAAAGAGAGTGGAGAATCAAACTCTTGTGATGAACAGTACTTTTATAAGAAGCCACACCTTATCCGTCTCTAAACGAAGTAAATTAAATTGCCCTAGTTTAGTGTTTGTGCTCAATTCTCATCCTATTTGTATGCAGTTTGAATTCTTTGATGAGTGAGAAAGCAATGAATCTTTTTCTCACACTGAAGCATGGGACAAAAGGGAGGGGACTTGGACATGAAAATGGGACATAAAGGAAGATGCAAAATCATGAAATTTGAGTCATCCTGTCACTCCAATTAAGGTGCTGATGTGTGGCTGGGCCCCCTCCATGTCACTTTCCAAGCAGAAAATTAGACAAACAGATTCCTAAAATTTAAGGGAAATGAAAGAATCACTTTATCTGTCTCTGTCTCTGAAAAATTGTGTGGAGGGAGAGGGAAACTTTCACAACGGAATACTTTGCCTCCTGTTGTCCTCCTCTCCAACCAACCAGGCTAGCAATCATCATATTTTAAATATTTATAAAATAAAAAAAGTAAAAATGAGTTGTAAAATTCTTGTCAGAATCTGATCATGCTAATTAAATATCATTCATAATTATTCATTAAGAAAAAAAAAAAACTGTCAATAGTCTATCAGCACAGGCACCAACCAACCTAACATAACTTTTTATTTGTTATGTGTACTACATTTACTCACCGTGTCTTAAAACGTACTGAGTTTTACGGATGCAGTTCAAAAGTAACTTCTGTCGCACTTATGAATGCATTTAGAGTATGTATATTATAGAAAACTACTTTTGTTTTAAAGTGCATATGTCACTTCCCTGAGCAAGTTGAAGAATCGGGTGGCCTACAAATGGTGTACAATTCCAATGTGATTTGAGTTGATGAAATTTATAGGGATGGTTTGTTTTGGTTTTATTTATCGACAGGTTAATGATGAGCAATTAGATTCTTAATATGCGGTCGTTTTCTTCTTTGAATATTAGGTCGTTTTAGTGTCAAACTCAAGTATTTGAAAGTTGAAGCATCCTAGTGGACATCAATGGAAATTGAATGGATGATAACATGGAAAGGGAGATTGATATATTTTTATTTGAAGATTTGATTTGATTTTATGAAATATTAATTGAAGATTTATATATTTTTCTTAAGTTTGGAGAATTTGTGTTTTTTTTTTTAGTATAAGCGATTGAGGGGAGGGGGTTTATACAAATATTCATAAAGTGCCCGGGTGTTCCGAACCTCTAACCATTACTAGTACCATTATTCCTTTGCAACTAGGTAGACAGGAGGACCCCAAATAATTAATTTCATCCTCTAAACCAACAGTATGTTTGATTTGAATCCCAATTCTTGTGTTAAAAAATCCTCTCACCCTCCATTTATTTATCTTTTCTTTTGGTTGGCTATGTAAACTGTAAAGAATCCAAAATGCAGGCAGCTTCTTCCTCCATAGGAATCTGTGTTTACTGTTTACTGTTTACTGGTCCCTTGTTTGTTTCTATGGACTTTTGCAGCCACCAACCCTCAAAAGAAAAGAAATCTACGAGTATTCTTTAACCCCCTTTGGATTTTTTCCTTTTGATCTGACACTGATTATAACTTCCCATAAAAAAAAATATTACCTTTCCCAATCAAATTCTAGGAGGAAAGTCCAACTTCCTACCATTTTTTATTTTTTATTATTTTTGGGGAGTTGGAAACAATGGCAATATTTCAAATTCATTACTTTTTAATTTTTCCTTTTGTTATCACTATAATATAATTAAGCTTAGCTGCCTAAACGTTTGTTTGTCAACTTCGTCGCCTTGAGGAGAGTCATCATTTTTGTCACAATGTAGCCGTTACATTTGAAAGTTTGAATTCTAGAAGATTGATGACAGTTAGATGCATAAGAGTTTCAATTTTAGTGGGACATGTATGTGAAAGTGATCTTGATGGGATAATTAGCCTCCTCAATATTTTTGTACTCTGCTTTATTATCATAAGAAATAAAGAAGAACAAAAACATGTATTGAATTGATAAGTTTTGCTAGATAGATGCCTATACATATGCAATGAGTAATTTAGAGATATCATATTTTTATCGCCTTAATTCACTGTATTTATGTCGATATGTTTTTCAAATTTGTTATTACAATAAAGTGTTCTCTTTTCTTATCAGTAAGGTAAAGGAATTTGAATTTAAAATCTTTTTTCAACACTAAAAGAATATGGTTTATTTTGGTAAATGATTTTCCCACTCCCCTTTTATCCACATACACTTATTTTTATTTAGAAAAATGGAGTGTAAGTGGATAAAAATAGAGTGGGAAAATCAGTCCCCTTTATTTTGCATAATATTGTACTTCGATGTGTGAAACCAAAATAATGTGACATATATCTTTTTTTCTTTTTTTTTTGGGTAAATACGATGAGGTGTGAAACCAAAATAATGCATTCTTGCCATTGAGGCACCAGGCAGTCCGCCAATTAGAGGTGGCAGTTTGCCAACTACACAACACCTTGTGATTGACATATATCTTTCATTATCATAGAGAAAGGACTGGTTTTTCTACCTTTTTAAAAAAATAAGCAGCTGAAAATATACTTATAAGAGTTTCACACAATTAAAATTTACATGCAATAATTCCTTAAATTTCTTTAGAAAAGAAAAAAAACTATGCTTGCATTCATTTTAAGACAAAATGAAAAAAATAACTTGTATGACCTATTGAAGTCTTTTATGCGCAATAGAAATATACTTGAGATCGAGTTTTGTATTTGTAACAGGTTTTAATGCGAAGACATGAATGAGTCAGGAAAATGAAAAGTGTACAATCAAATTTTCTACTCCATGAATAAGTCATGGAATACGCTTGTTTGTTTCGATAACAGAGTCCTAATCATAGTTAAATAAGAGAAAATGATGGGTGTGAATGCTTAATTGTAGTTAACAAATAGTTTTAATGGTAAACAACTCTCTTTCTCTTCTAGGGAC